TTGGCCTTGGAAAGGGTTCAGAAAAGGGCAGCTAAAATGATTAGGGGTTTGGAATGGGTCCCATATGAGGAGAGGTTAAAGCGACTGGGACTTTTCAGTTTAGAAAAGAGGAGACTGAGGGGGGATATGATAGAGGTCTATAAAATCAAGAGTGGTGTGGAGAGGGCCGATAAATAAAAGTTATTTATTAGTTCCCTAAATAGAAGAACTAGAGGACACCAAATGAAGTTAATGGGGAGCAGGTTTAAAACTAATAAAAGAAAGTTCTTCTTCACACAGCCGGTAGTCAACCTGTGGAACTCCATGCCAGAGGAGGCTGTGAAGGCTAGGACTATAATAGAGTTTGAAGAGAAGCTAGATAATTTCATGGAGGTTAGGTCCATAAAAGGCTATTAGCCAGGGGATAAAATGGTGTCCTTGGCCTCTGTTTGTCAGAGGCTGGAGAGGGATGGCAGGAGAGAAATCACTTGATCATTGTCTTCGGTCCACCCTCTGTGGGGCACTTGCTGCTGGCCACTGTCAGCAGACAGGCTACTGGACTAGATGGACCTTTGGTCTGACGCAGTACGGCCGTTCTTGTGTTCTTATGATTCCAACTGGAGACCTTGTCAGGAAAGATTCCCTCCCCCTTGCCCTGCTTTAAACACAGTCCTCCTCCTTTGAGTGCTTGCACATGTCCATTCCATTGGAGGTGTGCGAATGCCTCACAGCCAGCCACTGGAAATTTTTCCCTTGGTGGTATCCTTTGGGTCAGCTCCACTAGCCTCTGGGGTTGCATGTTCATAGCACCAGTATAAAGGGCCCTGCCCACCCTGCTCTCTTTCAGTTCCTTCCTGCTGCACGCAATGTTTGTTGGAACGGCTCGTCGCTTAGGACAGGCAGTCGTTCTCGGAGTGGTTTTCTAACAAATGTAGTCTGACTAGTTCATGTAGTTTTAGTAGTTAGTGCAGGCCTGTCCTAAACCCATATGCAGAATATGCAGCTGCATAGGGCACCTGGAAATTTGGGGCACCATTGGGTTTTAATATCCACCGACTCACCTCTTCCTATCCCTGTTCTGTGGCTGCCACAGCCTGGTGAATTTCCCTCTGGGCAGGATCTAGTTAACTTACAAGTGAAAAAGCCTGCCAGGCCTATTAGCAGAACACTAACCCTCTGAAAGAGCCATTCAAATGGTAATTTAACGGGTATATATTGTCAGTTTCTGAATTTCATGTTAAGAACAGATTGACACTTCATTTAGCAAATGTTTGCGAACAAGCAACAGATACAAGTTAAACAACCGTAGAGTAGATAGGGAAATCCAGGGACAGGTTTTAGGGTGAGGGTGAGGGGGTACATCGTTAACGTTACAGCAATGCAACTTTCGAGCCCAGTGCGCCACTTACATGCCCTCATGCCATGATACATTGCGTACCCCATGGGAATGACCCATTTATAAAGCGCTCACATCGCCCAGAATACGAGTTGTGTCCCTTATATGGCCAATAAAGAACATATGCAAATTCCGGAGGGTGATGGGAAGGGAGGGGGGAGATACTATAGGTGGTTTTTGAAGAGCCCATACCTAGATTGCATCCCTTTTTCGTAAAAGGGATGCAAATTAGACGCATCGCAATTGCCAATGAAGCGGGGATTTAAATCTCCCCTGCTTCATTAGCATAAAAATGGCTGCCGCTTTTTTTGGGCACGGAGCTTATTTTAAGAGGGATAAGGGATCTTTCAGAAAAGGCTTTATTTTCCGAAAGATCCGCATCTAGACTGGCGCTTTTTTCCGGCAAAGCTCCGTGCCGAAAAAAAGTGGCAGCCATTTTTATGCTAATGAAGCAGGGGAGATTTAAATCCCCGCTTCATTGGCAATTGCGATGCGTCTAATTTGCATCCCTTTTACGAAAAAGGGATGCAATCTAGACGTAGCCATGGGGTATGTCTAGACTACATAGCTCATGTAGATGAGTTTACATCAAAATGGCCGCCGCACTGTGCTGATCAGCTGTTTGGCAGCACAGCAGGGCAGTCTGGACGTGCCGCGGTCGACAAGGGAAGCCTTTGTCGAGCGCTCCAGTATGCCTCATGAAATGGGGCACATTGACGGAGCCATGTAGTCTCGACGTACCCTTGATGTGTTAGTCTACTAGGGATCTAAAATCCCGTTGAATTCATTAATCGGTTAAACATTAAGTTTAACTGGTTAACAGATTGAATGGGGAGCAGACGGGGCACTGTTTCAGCCCACTAGGCCGGAGCAGCACCCCGTCCCCCATGTTAGGCTGAAGCAGCCCCCACACTACAGGCAGGGGCCACTCCAGCCTGTCTGCTTCTGACCCTATGATGGGCTGCTGGCTCCCAGCCTGCGAGACGCTAGCACTGCTCCTGTGGAGTAGCTTAGCCAGAAGCTGTTGGTTACCAGGGCTGCCAAGCCAGAAGCTTTCAGGAGCACTAAGCTTACTTTGGAAGTTGGGGGAGGGGTAAAGAACTCAGATGTCTGTGTTTATTTCTGGAGATTTCTTGAACTTTTTAGTGTCTGTACTGCGGGATGAAAACTCAAGTTGCTTACAAGAGCACAAGCTATTAAACGATTAGGAGCATTCGTTTATCATAAACTGAGCACTCAGGAATCTGATGTACATATTCTGGTCTGATTCATACACTGTAAGGTCAGAAGTGGGGTTGCTAAATTGAGGCTGTTAGTAATCGAGTAGTCGATACATTTTTTATCGACTACTCAGTTACTCGACAGGGAAAGGCAGTCCTGGGCTTGTGTTGGGACCAAACCCCGCTGCGGCTCTTCAATTTAAAATGTACTGGGGGGGTGGGCAGGCTGCCCGGCTCTTGCTGCCTTTTAAATTGCTGAGCTGCTGCAGGGTTTGGTCCTGGCACAAACTGGGACTGAGCAGGGCCAATCCCCTGTCTGTGAGGATTCACCAGCGGCGGATATAGAAAATTGTGTAGTAAGATAGAAGGTCCCAACAAAGAAGTCACCAGAGGCGGAATGGCCAGGCGAGACACCTGGAATTTCCCGGTGGGCCGTCCGCCGAAGGGCCGGATGGCAGCTTCTGGAGGAGGAGGGGGATTGTGACAGGGCGCTGCAGCCCTGCACTTTAAATTCCCCGGCACCAGCCAGTACGGGCCATGTGGGGCTGAGGGAGCGCACGCGTGGCGTGCTGAAACGCTGCGCAACAGCTGAGAGGGGAGACGCCCAGGTGTGGCGTGACATCATGGCCCGGGACTTTAAAACCCCCCGGCCCAGTGTTGCCCTGCTCGTTTCAGCACGTGGTCTGGAGCCTGGGCCGGGGTCACGGCGACCCTGCAAGCTGGAAGGCAGAAGGCGGATGGCAGAGGAAGGGGCTTGTGCTGAGGGGAGGGGGGCAGGTCAGGAGAAGAAAGGGGAAGGCACCAAGGAACAGGGTGGAGGAGAGACAAATGCCAGGGGCCAGGTGGAGACAATGAGGAAAAGGGCAGGCGGGGAGGGGTCAGTGGGAGGGAGGACAGGATGATGCTGGGAAAGGAGAGGGTAAGGGCATTAGGGGCTAAAGGGGGGAGGGGAAGGGGCTGGGAGAAGGCTTGAAAGGAGGAGGGGGCATGAGGAAGGCAGGGATGGAGCAAGGCATGTGTGAGGGCACAGAGGGGCATGAGGGGAATGGGGGCAGAGGATGGGGAGGGTGTGGGCATCAGGGAAAAAGAGGGAAAAGGGGGCAGAGGCAGTGAGGGAAGGGGGAGGCACCAGAATGGTGCAGGGGAAGGGAAGGTGCAGGTGCCAGGGGATTCTGGGTGTGAAGCAGAAGGGCAGACACCTGGAGGGGAGGGACCAGCACCAGAGGAGAGAGGCAGGGCAGGTGTGGAGAGGGAAGTGTCAGGAGAGGGGATGAGGAGGGGTAGCTCACATGATTAGAGTGGGGCTACTGGAGGAGTGGGCACAGGGGGGGATGCCTTTTTTCTATTTTTTCTCCAAAGGGGGGCCCTGCAAAATTGTGCTGCTCTGGGCCCCGCAAAACTCTCATCTGCCCCTGGGGTTCACAGCAGCAGCCTCTGTCCGCGAAGGGTCCCAGCAGGAAGTTGGGGCTGCCCACATACAGGGGCTGCTGCCGGAGCAGCCTCTCCTACCTCCCCACCTCTGTTGCATCTCATAGAGGCAGCGGGGGAGGGCAACAGAGACATTGCTGGGGGGAACCGGCTTTTAAGCTGGCTCCTGCTTCTCCCCCCACTTGCTGCCTCTGATATAGAGGCAGCAAGCGGCAGGGAGAATGCGAGTAGTCAACTAATTGACTGCTCTCTTACATCCCTAGTCAGAAGGAATCCTCGCAAAATAATTATGACTATTATGTGTCCTCAGGCCTCAATATAACGGAATTTCTTTTCATTGGCAGCATTTAGTACTTCCCTAATTATTCTGTCAGGTGTTTTTTTTAAATAAACTTGAATTTTGGTTAAAAGTTACTAAAAGAAGTAAAAAGCATAGCTTTGGTTTTGTTGTCTCATGGTTTTGTAGCATTCCCAGAGTGTTGTACATTTTGGCATTTGGAATGCTGGAGCAATAATAATAATTGCATCGGATCTTTACGTATTTGTCATCCTGGTGGGCCCACAGCACTGTGTACATACTCGGTGTCACTGAATTGCAGGGGCTGTGGGCAGTCAGGCAATGGTATAGCATGCCTCAAACGGTCCGGGGGAGGGGTTAGAAATGAAGGTCCTGAACTCCAGGGAAACCCTTTCTCTTCCAGGAAGCATCATGGGATCTTTAACACCCAGCAGGATTTTTGCTCTTAAGGTTTTCTCAGAAAGGCCTACACATGGGAAACCCCTTAGTGCTCCACTGAGCCAACTCTGCTAGGAATTAAACCTGTGATTCAGGGCTTCTGTGTGTTTGCAACTTGAACCTCGGATCGCTCAGCTGTCTACTTTGAGTGCATGTTAACTGCCTGCTGCTTGCTTTATTTTTAACTGTATCGTCCATAAGATGTTTACCTATTTTTTTAATTCCTTTTTCTGGGGGACAGGCATTTACAGAAACACAGAAGAAAAGATTGTTGTCATGGAAACAGCAGGTGCAAAAACTCTTCAGGTCTTTCCCCCGGAAATCCCTTCTAGACATATCAGCATATCGGCAGCAAAGAAAGTACGTTGGAATTTCATCTCGCTGATACAATGATTGTGCTCTGTGGGTTGGTATCTCGGACAGAACTACACCACAGGGGCTAATGACACAAACATTCACACCGCACTAACCAGACCCGTGGTGTGGCTCTGATTCATGAGGCCTGTTACTGTGAGTGCAGGCCGGGTTGGAATATTTCACCTTACTCTGTTTTACCGCTATATGTCACCTCCAGCTCTGAAATGTCACTTTCAAGCAGTAGTTCCTGTTGCTAGTTAGTAGGTCTGATTTGCATTATACTAACCCCTTGAGGTTCCAGCTCAGATCAGGGCCCCATTGGTCTAGTTGTTTAACTGAGAGACAGTCCCTACCCCAAAGAGCTTGCAGTATAAATAGACAAAACCAAAGGGTGGGTAAAAAATATCATTGTCCCCATTTTACAGATGGTGACCTCAGTCATAGAGAGATTCAGTGTCTTGTCCAAAGTGATGAAAGCTGCCCATGGTGGTAAACCTAGATTCCCTGACTGTTACTTTGGTGGCTTACCAACAAGCCCATCCTTTCTCTGGATGGAGACCAGGGATTCTGGTGGACACCATGCCTGCCCATCTCCCAAACCCACACTTTCCCCACACCAATGGGAGCACTTGGAAAGATTAAAAAGTAATAATGGTGCCGACCTTCTCTGCAGTGGGGGTTTTCTGTCCTGTGTGTTCTACTCCTCCAGTTTTGGCATCATCTGCAAATCAGATCATGTCTGGATAGACCCCAGAAAAAGCAATCCATAGGGCTGCAGCGCGGCTCTTGGGCTGGTTTCGGTTCGCATGATAACAGGTTTCGGAGGTATTCATGATAGTCTATTTCTGCAAAAACTACAGGGAGTCAGGTGGCACCATAAAGACTAACAGCTTTATTATGGCATAAACTTTCATGAGTGGCAACTCACTTTGTCAGATGCATGAAGTGGGAGAAAAAGAAACAGATGGTAGGATACCGAGATGGGAGCATGACATCTGAACTCATTCAGTCAGGGTGGATGTGGATAAGAAGGTGAGAATACCTAGAGTGGAAAATTACTTGTTGTAATGAGAGAGCCATTCCTAGTCAGACGCCTTCAGATGGTGTCCAATTTGCAGATGAATTCCAGCTCAGCAGTTTCACACTGTAGCCTGGTTTTGACCTTTTTTTGTGCTTGAGGATGGCAACTTTCTCGTCTGTAACTGTGTGTCCAGGGAGGTTAAAATGTCCTCCCACTGGAATTTGCATGTTACTGTTCTTGGTGTCTGATCGATGTCCATGTATTCGGTTGCGTAGGGACAGTCTGATTTGTCCAGTGTACATGGCAGAGGGGCATTGCTGGCACATGGTGGCATATATCACAGTAGTAGATGTGCAGGTGAATGAGCCTTTGATGGCATAACCAATGTGCCCACAATAATCCCTGTTTGAATACCAGAGTACATCTCTCAGAAAAATATTCCGGCTTAACGCTAGGTGGTTATATAAGGGTAAGACTCTGGAGGTAAACAGGTAACATTTGTTATCCATCGGCCACCTATCTCCATTAATGTCAGGCTGCTGATCCATCCAAGACTGCATCGTACTGGTTTACAGAGAACGTGCTCTTCACAACCAAATGAGCTAGAGATCCATGACCTTTTTGGCCCCATTTTGTCTGGGTTTTCAAACTGTGTTAGCACAGTCCTAAAGAGCTGTGTTTAAATCTGGCTCGTGGTAGGCAGGTGTTAGTGGAGTTTGACATCTTAGTATGGATGGCACCTATGAGTCTCACAAACTCTTTTGTCACTCAGACAAACATCAACAATCCACAGAATGATTTAATACTAGGTCTCCAGCCCATGTCTCTTTGGCTACGTCTATACCAGTGGTCCCCAACCTTTAGAGGCGCCCGGGGGCGGGTCCACTCACGCGCCATGCGTCCTGGGGCACGCCAGGGGCGGGGATGCCCTTGCACCCGGCGCCGGCATGTGCCCCAGGGCCGGGGCCGCCCGAGCGCCTTGTGCCGTGGGCCCGGGGCCGGCGCCGCCGCCCGAGCTGCAAGCCTGGGGCTGACACTGGCGCCGCACGCCCACGGACCCGCATGTC